TCACCACGCCCACTGTGACAGCAGCTTAACACAACTAACTGTGCACGTACTTGAGTCTGCTGTACATCAGCCATGGTCAGCATGTAATCTTCTTCATCTGGGATCTTTGATGCTCTTATCTCAGGAGAAGGAGCAAGTACGATGGTGGCCTTTTCCAGGCTACCGTGTGCAGCGATGTGAACAACAGACGCTCCTTCTTGTAGTCTCTTTATGACAACGGGTTTCGTAGCGTAAGCTGACAATAGCGCCCGAACTCCAAGCATGATAGCTATTTCATCTGCCTCTTGTATTATGCCATCTAAGAACGGAATTTTAGTTTCAACTCCATCCAACATTACCGGACCAACGACGGCAGCGCCAATGATCAGTGCTTCTTTTCTGGAGTGATGCTCCACTGGGTATTCTTGGAGAAGCTTTAAAGATGCCATCGAAGGAGCCATTCTTATTCGCTTTGTTTCTGACAAATATTGTCCCGTGTCTGGGTCCCGTAGGGCAGCAAATGGTAATCTGCACAAAGCACCTTCAGGAATAATGACCATTTCGTCTTGTTTAATCAAACACTTGATATTGGTTATTAACTTATTGTACGATTTTTCCAGGCCACTTGTCAGACTGCTCTCCGCGCAGTTTTCTGTTGGGTTTCCTCTGCATTCAGAAATAGAACGACATTGATCTGATAACCTTTTCTCTCGGTGTTGAATTAACAGCTGCGTTAACTCATCTTCTTTGGGATTTTTGTTTTCTTCAAAGTAGTGCATGTTGTCTAATGATCTGTCCTCACAGTGGATTACTTGACGCACTTTCATATCGTCATATGTTTCATCAACAAGCTTGTCTAGACATATATCACAGTATTCAAAATGCTGATCTGAAAATCCAAGCTCATTTCCTGCCTCTACTACAAACGTGTACAAATCTTCAAAACACGTCGAATAAAACAGAAGAGTGTAGTTACTACTGGAAACAAGAGACTGGACATCGGCGTACTGTAAACCCTCATCAGCAGTTTGTTCTTTCTTCATCCCATAGCTTGAAACAAGGAGATCTTTCAGGGCTTTTGCACGATAGTGGTCAGACAATACCAGAGCTTCTTCTTTCTTATTTCTTTCAATAAGAACCTTCAGAAGCAGCTTGTAAGTCTCTTTGTATTGATCAACGAAAGCTATTTTGAATAGATCGTTTTGCTTAAGACCAATAAATATTAATTCATAGCACATTAACGATTCTTTGAATGACTGCTCTGCATTCTCAAACTGTTTAAGTTTATAAAAGACTTTGCCTAGGCTAAAATGGGACTTTGCCTGTTTGGACTTTGAGCCCTGTTTGCGTGCGACATCTAGTGCTTCTTGTTGATACTGTATACCCTTCTCGTAGTCCCCAAGTAACACATGCATCTCTGCGATTTCATGCATACAAGTCCATAATTGCCTACGATATTCATCTTTATTGATACTGTTCTTTCCGAGTGCCATACAAGTCTCAAGACATGAAATGGCTTCCTTGTATTGGCTACTTGCTTTATTACGCACATAGCCAAGCAGCGAATGCAAAAACCTGTCAGTAATTTGAATACCATCTAGAAACCCTTCCGGGAATTCAAGTTCTGAGAATAATTCACTATATCCTTCAGACACGCCAACTATTTCATAAATTCCGTTTATACGTGTTCCAAAAAAGATGTCGTTATAGTTGTCTCCTAGTTCCTTCGCTATTGTCCTGCCTTGTGTAAAGAAGGAGTAAGCATCATCGTACTCTTCTTTTTCCAAGTGGGCATCCCCTAACAGTATGAACGCCTTCATCTCAGCCACTTTATCACCAGATGCTAGTGCGATGGTAAGACATTTTCTACTGTATAATATAGCAGCATCACATTCTTCTTTCAGCAAGTGGGCATTCCCTAACATCATGTATGCATTCATCTCATGTACTTTATCACCAGAGTCTTGTGCTATGGCAAGACATTTTTTACTGTATGATATTGCATCATCATATTCTTCTTTCATCAAGTGGGCATTCCCTAATATCTTATACGCATGCATCTCAGTCACTTTATCACCAGAGTCTTGTGCGATGGCAAGACATTTTTTACTGTATGATATTGCATCATCATATTCTTCTTTCATCAAGTGGGCATTTCCTAACGTCATGTACGAATGCATCTCAGTCACTTTATCACCAGAGTCTTGTGCGATGTCAAGACATTTTTTACTGTATGATATAGCATCATCATATTCTCCTTTCTTCAAGT